GCATTTATTTGAATTAATTCGGCTAATTATATCATTTACTTGAATTAGCGCGCACACGCGCGAGAGAGAGATGAAAGTTGCGTGTGTGAACCTGATTCTGCGCGTCTCTCTCTACAAGCAATGAGGCTTAGTTCCTTCAAAAACAGCGATTTTACCCCCTCATTGCAGAGAAATATAACGTTGCGAGTCAGTAGCCTGTCGAAGCTATTTTACTAATAAAAAGTATTGTGTTGTCGTGTGCAATAATGTGTGTGTGTGCGTGCGTCTATGAAAGCAGCGTAGCCTGCATATAGTTTTAGTTTAGCTATAAACCCGGGTCGGGTAGCAGACCTCTAGCGCTGACCCAGATCCGGCGTGATGACGTCATTACGCCGGATCTGTGTCAGCGCCGCCACACGCTCGCGACCTTGAACGTGTGACCTTGAACGTGGTAGTTACCTTGCTGTCTATGGGAGGGTCGGGATTGTGTTTCGAAGATGAAAGAAGGTCTAATGGGTTTCGAACAACACGAGGGTGAGTAATTAATGACAGAATTTTCATTTTTGGGTGAACTAACCCTTTAATGCAATTATGAAATGAGCTTAATTGAGCTACAAACAGCTTTACAGAAGACAATAGTGTGATTACTCAGCTCAAATCCATTCAATATTGATTCAATTCAGTTCAATAACTGCTAAAATCAGTGTCATAATCCATTTTATTTCAAATATTCTTATCCGATAGTGCAGTTAAATGGGTAATATTACTGAATATTAATTTTCTAACCAATTCAAATTCAATATTCAAAGGACCAAAGGTTCACCTGGTATTAAACTCCTTCCATTTGTCCGGGTGCTGCATTAGTTTCTGATGTGTGCTGTCAATATCCTCTTTGACCTCTGCAAACGCTGTCCTGGCGTTCTCTAAAGTTTGCCGGGCTTGTTCGCTCTCCGGAAGCTTCGAGCACAGCTCTTCCATATGCTGTAAGCGCTTCTCACAAAGAGCCTGTGGACCCTTTTCCTTAAAAAACATCTACATAAAAATATCCAATGTAAGCATTGCCTATTTCCAAGGTCAGAAAGAGTGCTTATAGAGGGGTTGTAATGCTGGTGGCTCTCACCCTGTGCTCTTTGATTAACCTCTCGCTGCCCATGCTGGGCAGACTGCGGTTCTCACGGGCCACTTCAGCCTGACACTCCTGCACTGATGCCATCAGACGACTCTTCTCCAGCTCCACCTTCAGATGCAGCAGGTGAGAAGGAACCTCTGTTTGGACATCCTGCAGAAAAGATGCATTTTCATATTGTGGGTGCAGTTCAATGCAACTTGCAAAGTGCTTTTTTAAAAAATTCAATTACAGAATTAAATTACTTAAAAGTGGCAGGTTTTGCATTAATTCAGTTTAAAAATGGCCATTTGTTAACCATTTTAAGTGTTAAAAGCACACATTAAAGCTTTCAGAGGATGTATAAATCTCAATTTCGAGAAATTGACCCTTATGACTGGTTTTGTGGTCCAGGGTCACATATATGTGCGTGTGTGTGTGTGTGTGTATATATATATATATACACATATACAGTATATATACATGTACAGTATATATATATATATATACATATAAAGTAACAGAATATAGTGCAATCCTTGAAGTGTAATTAGATCTTTTTATTTTATCTTTGTTTGCTTCTTTCTTTACTTACATTTGTTCCTTCATTTTGAAGAAGACGCTAACGTCAATAATTGTTCAGTATTTATTTATTTATATCATTATATATAAGTGCTTATGTAAATGTTGCTGTTCTGTAACAACATAAATTAAAAATGGTTTGATATACATGAACAGTTAAAACAATAAAAAAAATATTAATAATAATAATAACATGATCAATTTAAAAATATTATTTCTATTATTATTAAAATATAAGTAAATAATTTAATAACAACAACTAAAAATAAACTGATTTTTTAAAATAGAATTATTAGTAACCTTTTGAAACGCTATAGAAATGGTTGGTATTGAGAGGTGAGACTGCAATGCTGTAAGTGTTCTCTGACCTTCCACTGTTTGTGCAGTTTCCTGACTGTTTCCTGCAGATTCTGCTGTTCTTGCTCTGGTAGTATATCTGTGAGTTCATCACAGGCTTTCAGAAAAGCATTGAGAACTCTCTGATCCAGCTGCCCAAAGAACTCCTGCAGGACATTCAATAGAAATGTTATGAAATCATTTCAGCTTTGCAATTTCTCTGAATACATTTCCCTTCTGGAGACCGAATAAAGTTCAAACTCTGCTTTTGGCCTATTTGCCGAGCACTAGAATAGATGGTTGGGTTTCATTTCTCACAGTGTGCTTTTTCAGAAGGTCCTCTGGGTTTCCTCTCTCAGTCATGGAGCTGCGAGCTACTTTCAGAACCTTCTCCAGCTCCACACGAGACTCCTCAAATCTCTTCATCAGGCTGCTGTTCGCCTCCACATGCCTCTTCCATTCTGTGGTTTCTTTTACCATGCCCTTTTTGAGATAAAACATACAGTACAGCAATGAACATTTATAAAAGAAAAATCACAAATGGGATTTATTTCATATAACAATTGTTTCTCCCAAACTACAATGAGATCAAATGGATTCTGCCTAATTCTTCTGATTCTCAGATTGTTGTTCTTCTGTATCTGCTCTAAAGTTTCAGAAGAGATCTCAAACTGTGCTCTGATTTACCAAGATCTTTAGTCATAGATTTTAACCTCAAACATGCATAGAAGACATGACGTTGCTCTTCCTCACCTGTGAAGAGGCCTGAAGCTCTGAGATTCTCCTCTCTAGCAGTGACGTGTCCAGGTGTTTTAGGTTCTTGCTGGTGTCCAGTGATTTCAGAATGATCTGATGGTTTTTATCAATCACTGACAGACACTTTTTACAGCTCTGCTGATAGGTCACCAGCTCCTGATGATTGTGTAAATAGAGAAAATACAAAGAGAGAGAATTATTGGCAAATACATTTTTTAAATATTGTGTGTTCATAAACCCTTAAAATCATAAAATCATAAAACCACACAAAACAATTTTGGGACCAAAACTATTGTACAATTTTCATCATAACCTAAAATATTTGGACTCCTGAATAAACATTTTGACTTGACACAAAGGTTAAGCAAAATTTTTTAATTACATAGAAGAGTTTTAACCAGTGTAATTTTAGTTATATTGAGATGCTATTATCTATTTTTCTATTTTCATTTAAAATGTTTGTATTTTTTTTAAGTTTTTTAAAATATGTTTATATAATTGAAATATTTTTTTATTTTTTTATTTCTAAATTTATTTATTTTATTTTTATTTAATATAATATTTTATTTGTTATATTATGTTTCAGTCTTTTAGTTTTTTTCATGCATCAAGTTAAATTAAATGAATGCCTTGGCTGAAATTGTTTTTTATATACATATGCATGTGTGTGTGTGTCTGTGTGTATATACTGTATATATTAGTGCCTGTGTTTTTCTGTCAATATGGGGTGCTGTGTGTACATTAATGAGGAAAAAAAATTAACTTAAATGATTTTAGCAAATGGCTGCAATATAAAAAAGAGTGAAAAATTTAAGGGGGTCTGAATACTTTCCGTACCCACTGTATATATATATATATATATATTTTTTTTTTAAGTTAACATTCATTTTATTTCAAGTAATTTCATGGCTTTAGTTTTAGTTAACAGCTGTATTTCAGTATTGAATGATATATTATATTATAATTATTTTTAAAATCATCATTCATGGAGCTAACATTATCATAACCCTAAAATCTCATTGTCAAGCCACCCTTGAGTGCAACCCATAGTCCTTTAGTCACCTGACACTTCTGCTTGAAGTCTCCTGGAGCCTCGGAGTCCCGGGAGGAAGTGATGCGGCTCGCCTTCTCCAGCGACTGCATACAAAATAAAAGTTTTTGTTTGCATAATATATGTGTGTGTTCTGTGCATATTTATTATGTACATATAAATGCATAAATTATCAATTAAATTATATAAATACACACACTTACAGTATATATATTGTGAAACTATTTACATGTATTTGCATGTCTATATTTATATTCACATAATTTATATTATAAATAAATATATTTAATATATAAAAATAACATTTTTCTGAAATATATACATGCATGTGTGTGTATTTATATATACATAATAAATATACACAGTACACACACATATTATGTAAACAAAACCTTTTGAGCTAACATTATCATAACCCTAAAATCTCATTGTCAAGCCACCCTTGAGTGCAACCCATAGTCCTTTAGTCACCTGACACTTCTGCTTGAAGTCTCCTGGAGCCTCGGAGTCCCGGGAGGAAGTGATGCGGCTCGCCTTCTCCAGCGACTGGTAGAACCCAGTGATATGTTTCTCCATCTCCTCTAAAGGAGGCAGCATGGCCTGGGAGTCCCTCAGCAGGGGCAGAGCTCTTTCTCTTATCTAAATGAGACATTGAGGTCATAATGTGAGACGGTGTGATTACGGTTTAATGTGGAAGTTCATGGGGGAAAATACAGGGTAGGCACCTTGCTGAGCTCATCCTTGATGGCTGCCATGGTAGCCAGCATCTGTGCGATCTCCTCCTCAGTGAGGTCTTTGGTCAGCTGCTGCGCGTTACGTGTGGCCGTCTTGTACGCCGCCTCCATGGACGGCACTTTGTGCTTGATGTCCTGTGAGAAATGAGTTTTATATAATCTCTAGCTGATGCATCAATAAACATCATTAATTTTTTTTATATAAACTGAATGGATAATTGTATAAATTCACATATTACAGTATGTACAGTATGTGTCAGTAAGATTTTCTTTTAAAGAAATTAATTTAATCAGCAAAGAAACTGATCAAAAGTGGCAGTAAAGACATTTATGATGTTACAAAAGATTTCTATTTTTAAAAATGCTGTTCTTTTGCACTCTCTATTAATCAAAAATACTGAAAATACTGAAAATTAATCTCGCATTCCACAAAAATATTAAGCAGCACAACTGTTATCAACATTGATAATAATAAGAAATTATTCTTGAGCAGCAAATCAGCATATTAGAATGATTTCTGAAGGATCATGTGACACTGAAAACTGGAGGAATGATGCTGAAAATTCAGCTTTGCGTCACAGGAATAAATGACACTTTAAAATATATTCAAATAGAAAAAAACTTATTTAAAATGTTAATAATACTTCACAATTTTATTGTTTCAACTATATATTTTGAATTTTAAAAAATGCAGCCTTGATGCGCATAAGAGGCGTTTTTCAAAAACATTAAAAAAAAAACCTGTCTCATAGCACTTGCATATTCTTGCTCTTTTGTTGGATTTGATTGCTTCTAATGTCATAATTTTATAAAGTCGTTTTGGATAAAAGCATCTGCTAAATGACTAAATGTAAATGTAAAAGTAAAAACAATTGTTTCAGCTCCAAACATTTGAATGGTAGTCTGTCAAGTCTATGCTGCGACTGACCAATCAGTATCAAGTATTCCAGAGAACCAGCTTTGTGAACTCTGATTACCTCAACGTCTTGTAGATATGTCCGTATGTTCAGAAATGAAACTTGAACTGGAGTGTTCATCCTCTCGTTGGCCATGTCAATAAATGCCTTTAAAGCTTCGATCCCATCGTCATAATCTTTTCTCAGTTTGTCCACTTCATCTGCTCTTGCATACTAAGAAAAAAATATCATCAGAATTATGTTTACACCAATATGAATATTGACATTATTTCATAAAACGTACAGATGCAACAGACTGTCAATCAGTGTTAATTTCGTTGACGAATAATTTTCGTCATAATTTTCGTCAACGACATCTTTTTCACCGACGACAAGGAGACGATAACAAACTAAAACTCTTTTTGAATGACAAAAACTATGACGTAAATCTATTGACATTTTTGTCAACAAATAAAAGCATTACACTGTAACTAAACCCATTAGATTTTAGCCGACTAAATTTACTGTAGATGTAGTCGACTAAAATCTTATGATATTTAGTCAACTAAAACTAGACTAAAACTAAAAACTATTTAGATGACAAAAATATGACTAAAACTAAATGGCATTTTAGTCAAAAGACTACGACCAAAACTAAATCAAAATTTGCTGTCAAAATTAACACTGCTGTCAATGAATGTCAATGAAAAACTAAATTATGACTGTGCTGGGTAAAAGAAACCCTGACTTGAGGGATAAAAACAAAATGCTTGATGTGTAGTGTAGAATGAGCACTTAAATGTGACGTCACACGTCTTACATGTTTGACTTTGACAAACAGCTCTCTCCATCTGCCGTTGAGAAGAAGCAACTGCTGTTTCAGTTCTCGAGACACAGTCTCATCGCACGTCTCAATCAGGAAGTTTCCAGCATCATTCATGTCCATGTGCTGCTGAATCCAGTGTGGAAGATTCCGGAAAAACTCCTGCAGAAGAATTCACACTGTTTATACACAACCGTTTTCATTCGACAGCATTTCATCTGAAAGTCTCAAACTTTCCAACGCACCCGTTTGTCGCTCTCTGACTGGTTGAGCATCTTCTCAGCGTCCTCCAGCCAGGCCTGCAGGCTGGCCACTGTGCTGCTGTATTTCTCCCAGTTGCAGATCACTTCCTCCAGCATGCTGCGGACGCTCCTCACCTCCACTGACAGGTTCTTCCACTGTGCTGTGGCATCGCTCAGAAACTTATTCACCCCTTCTACCTCCTCAGCTGAAGGCAAATCACATTATGAATAACAGAGTCTTGCACACTAAAAACAAATGCATTTGTCAATCTGATTTTTGAGTTGCACAAGACACACAAATCAATCCCTAGAGTCAGAAAGGTGCCCAGTGTTGTGGATTAGACCAGTGTTTCCCAACCGGGGTGCCGTCTGTCGAGAGCAGGGGTGCCGTGTAAAAAATTATTTTTTTATATTTTTAAATTGCTAAAATGTTCAAAAAAGCATCTATTATATAATATCCATTTCTGATGTCGCCAATAATTAGAGATGCACCGAAATTTCGGCTGCCGAAAATTAGTTCACCGCTCAGGATTCACTTTCACGTGGTGTGACGCTCTGCGTATTATCCCGCTCTATGCGTGTGCGCTCCGCTCAGTCGCTCCACTCGTATACCGTTCATGCGAATCGGAACAGCAAAGTCCACTCAAAAACTGAGCCGACAGGAAACATCGATGTAATGCAGTATTGCTTCTGTCTGCAATAGCCCTACTGTGCTGTAACAAGGTGTGGTAAATGGGCAACTCTGGTAACGCTGCCCTCTCATTAATTGATCTGCTAACCGCTATGTTATGCTCGCGTGTTCTGATAATAATAGCTTTCTAGGACAAAACATTATTTGGATAATTGGTAAAAAAAAAAAAAAAAAA